TGTGAAAGAACCCTGTTTTCCAAGGAAAATTCACTTTGGGGCCCTTGCATCAGGGTGGTTCATTAGCGCATCAGCCTTGCAACTTAGCTGTTGGTTTGATCTCAATCAACTAATATCGCAGTCTGATCCACTGAAGCTTGTAATAGGCTTAGGAATAACAGGCGTTTACATCCTCATTAGGGTTTGGTGTGCCGCGGCAGGGGAAACATCCTTGGCCGCGTCTTGTTGGAGAGGGGAGACTGAGGGATGGCGGCTGGGGCACACGCTAGGGACCAAAGGCCCGTGTCGGGGAGGAAAATAGAGTAAATTTGGGAGATGATGGAAATTTAGAATGGGGTAGGGAAGGGCAGGGAGTACACAGGACACACAGTGCCTCCATGCACATCCCAGCTCTAAGGGGGCTGTAAGAGCTTCTCATGCCACTGGGCTGTGCTGGCACTCAGGATGGGAGGGCTGGGGAGCAGGGGGACCCCCGTGCCAACACCACAGCCAGGCTGGGCACTGCCAGCACCCCTTGTGCAGCCTCTATATAGCTGCCCGGAAGATGCACGAATTAACAGCGGGATGGATTCACACTGGAGATGGGGCTCCTCCGCTCACTCAGCCCTCGCTCCCAGCACCACAGGAGCCATGTGCACTCTCCCACACTCCTGGGGAACTGAACATGCTCTCACCCCACGGGAAAGCTAACGAGGCTGTACAAGGTCCCGCGGTCCCTTGGCAGAAATTTGAGCAGCTGCTTTGGAGCCGCACGCTGCTTTGGACAGCGCAGGCCATCTGCACAGCAAGGAGGAGGTCGGAGGAGTTCAGAGGAGACGTGTTGAGCCCTGGGCACAGCAGGTCTGAGGACCTCTGCCGTGGTGGTGGCCTTTGCACCGGCTTCGGATGGGGCTGCGGCATCCCACATGCTGCTGCCACAATGCTGAATCCTGACATCACCAGCGCTCTGTCTCTGCCCGATGCCCCATGTTCCTGTGCTCCCCCACCAACCATGACCACCACCAGCTCTCACCCGGCTTCAGTTCCACCGATGGTGACAGATGGTCCCCTATCAATTATCGTTAGTGTAAACGAGGGGGTGGGAAGAGCGCACGCTGCCTGCTGATTTGGGGTTTGACTGCAAGCAGGCTCCCACTCCAGCGTGGAAAGTAAGTGAACACAAAGCAGAGTCTGTGACACACCCAGCAGGTCCCTAAACCACCTTGCAGAATCCTCACGGCTGGTGGCTCTCAGTGCAGGGCTGGTGCCTCCCTTCCACCACGATCACCCATGCAGAAGCCAAGGCCTGGCCACCACCTGGGCAGTGTCGGGGTGGGCAGAGCAGGCAGGGCTTGTCCTTGCCCCGGTGCCTGGGCTGAGCATGTTTCAGCATCACCATGGGAAATACCAAGCTAGGCCCTAAAAGCGGTGGCTAGCACAGCTCAGCATGTGCCAGAGAGAAGTTCCCATGGTGCTTACACAACACTGAGGGTTGACAACCTGGCATATTAATTTATAAACTCCATAGGATTCCTGAACGTCGGTAATCTGCTGTGGTTAACCCCTCTGCCACCGCAACATGCCTCCAGCTTCGCTGGTCCGGCACCAGCACTGAGCCAGCTGTGTGCATCTGGTGACCCGGGGGGATTTACATTCTCCCCCTCCAGGCCCCCGTGCACCTACCCGAGCCCTCCTGGCACCATTAGGCTAATGCCAGAGCAGCCCCAGCCTCACGTGCAGCTCACCCCCGAAACCTCATCTAATAAAGGGCAAGCGCAGCACCCGTGTGCGACAGGAACGTGCCGGCTTCGCACGAGCCCCCGCCGCTGGCTGGGCTATACATCACATCTCCTCAAACTGGGGATTTGCCGTCAAGAAACCCAATCAGGAGAGAGGCAATACTTTTAAAAAATTATGAAGGCTTTCAAGTTTATTTGTTCTTATTACCCAGCTGACAGCTCAGGGGAGGAGGAGAAAATCATCGGGGTATTACTGCCACAAAATAGTTGTAACTGAATTGTTCCAGACAATAAAGCAGAGGCGCAGGTCACAGGCAACGCGTCGCTCCCCCCATGCCAGCCCCCCAACAGCCCTACTGCTGCACCACAATAAAAACACACCACTATGAGGAGATACCGCTCTAATAGCTGCCTATTATGGCTAATAGAAACAGAAGCGTGTTATCTGCGCTTGTCACTCGTGTGCAGAGCAGGAACCGCTGAGCAGGCTTGGGGATAATGAGTTTACACGCTGTGGCTCGATTCCCTGCGATGTGCAAAGGCCTTTCCTGGGCAGCAGGTGCAGCTCCCCCCAAGACCCCCCACAGCAGGCTGCCCCCCAGTTCTTCCAGTGGCTGCAGTGACAGCATGGTGGTGGTGCAGAAGGGGTCACGCTTACTGTGCAGCTGGGATGGGGGGTGAGCGACTCCCCCGGAGGCTGAAAGGAGCCACCAGCTCTGCCTGTGGAGGCTCAGCCCAGGCCAGCCCCCGTGGCAGGCAGGGTGCTGTCACAAAAGGCTTTGCCAGGCTGTGCTGCTGATTATCAGAGCCACCGGTCCTGCCCACTTCTGGGCTTCTGCTGGGCTTGTCCCAGCCTGGCACATCAAAGCCCAGGCTGCGTCACTGAGGGCAAGTGCCAGAGGAACATCCCACCACTGCAGCAGGGCAGGAGCCAACCAGCCCCAGCAGCACCCAGCGGCAAGCCGAGGGGGTGTGCAACCAAATCATGACGTCCCCCCAGGTGTGCAGCTTGACACTCTGCAAGGCCACAAGCACAGGCCCCTGGGAGACACTGGCCAAAGAGGCAGGAGCTGGGACACAGCCCTGCCCCATTTCTGCAGGCAGCTGTGCTTGATGCAAACCCATGTCGCGGGGGGGCAGGACACAAGCACAGCCTGCCCCTGGCATTT